TAGACCTCGAAGAGAGCAAGGTCTTATACCAATCTGGTGCCCTATCCTCTAGCATGAAGGCAGCTAGCTACACCTGCCTAATATTAGAGCACTGCAAATCCTCCAAGACCTTCCACATCCTGTCCAAAATCTATGCGAATCCTCAACCAAATCTGATCCTAAGAAAGAAGGAGGCTTAAGCTTGATGAACTCCTGGATAGACACCTCCTTACCATCTTTAGGCTGGACTTGTTCCCTCTCTTGTTAGGGAGGGACTCGATCTTGAACAGGTGGTATCACATCCACTTGGGGTTGCACTTGCTCTACTGGTCCAGCCTCAAGATCAGGCCAGGCCTCATGCATCCTAGGAGTGACCAAGACCTGGTCAGCTCAGCCACAGCTAACTGGACTCCACGTAGCCCATCAACTACTTCAGTTAGCACATCTGGAACACCCAGTGGCCGAGTGACCCTCTCATCGGGAACAAGCTCATTAGCTCATTGCACAAGTCTACCACGGCCTCTCCCTCGGCTGCTACCACATCCTCTACCTCGACCTCTCACGGGGAGAGAGGATGGTCCCTCGGGCGCTACCACATAGCACCCAGATCCTCAGGAGCTTCTTGTCCCTTCGCTTTTGGAGGACGAAGCGATGCATCATGAGAGGCATCCATCTAACATAATACAGAAGTTTCACATAAGTTCAACATCTAATATTGATAAAAGGCATAAAAGGAACAAGGAGTAATTAACAACAAACAAATTTGAACACTTGGATTTCTTAATGAAGCAAAGGAAACCAACACCTAAGAGACCTTCCATAGCATCCCAATTATGAATATGGCATTTCATAGCCATAATTGCAACTCTATCCAAGGGCTCTTCCTCCATAAGCCATGGAAAATCTAAAGCTCTAATACCATGTTTGTCACGATCCCAATCTAGAAGCCACGACCGGCGCCAAGGATGAGCAACCCATCCCTGGCAAGCCTTAGTGACAAATTTCAAAATTTGTCTAAGTGTAAAATTTTCTAAAAATTCCAGCATAGTTTTCCCTAAAAATCAGACATTTGCCAAAATTTTTACTTATAACACGCACATTCCTAAACTCTACAACAGATCATCAGGCAGATAATATAACAAATTATAAATGAGTTCTCATCAGTAAGACAACATAAACTACAAAATGAGCAATCCATAACCCATGGCCTTTTTGCATCAAAAGAAGGATTATAAACTAATTTCGCCTATCATAGCAATACTAAATAATCCCAAAAGATAAGATTCCTACCCGTGGCTGTTTGGAGTATTCAAAACTTACTAGAGTCAAAATAAAGTTTACAAGATGTACTATCAGCACAAAGCATAAAACAAAAAGGTCGAAGCCCACACACCATTATAGGAGTGTGTGGGACTCACCAAGAAGGATGCCTAGAGCTCAATGCAAAGGATGGCAGTGGGATCAATGCTAAGATCTGAGGGGGGAAAAAAGGGTAAGAATCATCTCAGTGAGTAATAATATGCAAATCCAACATACAAAAGCATAACATAAAATTTGTTTAACTGTTTAATAAGCAATCATCACATAATATCTCATATGCATCATAAAGTACATAAATGCAATCCAAAGCAAATACATATAAATAAGAGGTCGGGGTACCGTAAGCGGGAATCACCACCACTATCCCTGCTTACCACCATCCTCACTTACCACCATCCCCACTTACCACCGTCCCTGTTTACCACCATCCCTACGGTATCCCAATTGCAACAGAATCACATCACCCATAATCGATGTATGCATCAATCATATCATTTCTCTTATACAGCTTCTCATTCAAAATATTACAAATTCATAACTATAATCTTATGCTAAAGCAAACATACAACAAAATATAATAATTTACAAACCATAAGGAAACCCATATTACTATTCAAAGTCAAGTTGATTCACGCTTGAGGAGCTAATAGACCTCGTGACCTCTACTAAGGGATCTCAAATAACCTAACGTCAACATTACGCATTAGTAATATATATATATATATATATATTTTAATCCCAAATTTCTAAACATAATCTAACCTATTACTATCCTACCCATTAACCTATACTCCTATTAAGTGTAATTAGGTGTAAGTTCCCTTGATTAACAGGCCAAATGTGAGCATAGGAGGCTCTAAAAATCTAGCCTCATTAACTATTTTCTGCTCTAGGGAGGAATGAACTCGTGCCTTCGCACAAGTCCCCAAGCCCCAGTTTCCCCGCTCAAGCCATGGCTCATACTATTGAGCCCAACTGAAAAAAAAAACAGAAAATAAAGAAAAAGCACAAGAAAATGAAAAAAAAAGATTAACCATATAGGAGAGAGAAAAGATCGTAGGAAGGAGGAGCAAGGTTGGATGTTTGTTGCTGGCCTGAGTTCTACAGTGCACGGCACACGCAACCCGATTCACCAATGGGCTCGGTTGGTTTTGGACGGTAGAAATTTTACAAATGAGGGAGGTTTGGTGGGCTGCTATGTCAAGCTCCTAGGTGACAAAGATTTTTTTTTTTTTTTTTGCAAAGAAGAAAAAGTTTACCCAGTAGAACAAACAAGCAAATTTTGGTAGAATTGGGTTGCCAGTGACAAATTGGTTCAATTGGAGGTGCGTAAGGCAAGGAAAAAAAATAATAATACAGAGAAGGAAAAGTAGGAAGGTCAGTCGTTCAGCCTCTGTATGCAGGGGTTGTAGGAGAAGAGGGCTGGCGCTGTGCAGGGGAAACAGGAAAAGAATAGAAGAGGAAAGAGAAAAAAAAGAAAAAGGAAAAGAGAAGGAAAAGTGGGGAAAAGGGGAAAGTTGTGGGGAAGGATCTGGAACGTGGGTTTACTTTTCCTTTTTCTTTTTTTTTTTATAAGTTGTTACAGATGATGACACTTAGTCTATCGAAAATCATAACAACAACATTTTAGTTTACCGATAATCAAAATAGCAACAGTTTAGTTTACTGGTATACAGTTAAGTAAGTTAAGATACCTAATCTAACGTCTACTGTCATTAGCTACAATGTTCTAAAAATTCGAAACTCCCTTAAACTAATTTTCCAAAAATAAGCAGAATTAGTTTAACAGAACTTTTCATTTATAGATATAAACAGAATCAAACGTAAATAACAGATAATTTTTTTTCAGAACAATTTCAAAAATTACATACATTATGCTTTTACAACCAAATTTAATTAATTTTTAGAAATCAAATATATCATGTAAAATTAGAATTTATAATAGGTATAGAAAATAACAAATGCTCTTAAATACACATTATTACTCACAAAAAATGGAAATCAAGAAATCTGATATTCAATGACATGGGCTCAATGAGAATTGTACAAAGAATCTAAAATCGTACAAATAATAAAATATCTTATTTTAGGTTTTTAATACATCTAAGAATCGAATAAATATAATTGCTTTATTTAAAACCCGATTAAAATTCTAGGTTTTCATACTCGAACCCATATTGGGGCTATTAAAATCCCAAACCAGTCATATAAGTCATGAATTGATTACTAAAATTTTGAACTAGTCTCATAAAACATAAAACCAATCTATTTAACCTCTAAACCAATCCTTAAATTACTAAACTGGTTTTGAACCGATCACCAGGGTGTTGAACCAGACATAAACCGGCCATTAAGTCACTGAATCAGCCTAAAAAGCATTGAATCAACTCTAAATCAGCTATTTATACACTAAACTAGCACTATTTAAGTACAAAACCAATCTAAAATCTACTGAATTAGACATGAAACACACTAAACCGTCTATTTATACACAAAACTAGTATTTAATTTGCTGAACCAGTCCAATATGTCATTGAACTAGTGACCAGAAACCCTAATTCAATGGTTTAAGTTTTAAATTGAATGTATTAACCCTAAACTGACATTAAACTAGTTGGTTTAAGTACTAAGCTAACCTATTATGCCTTGAGCTGAAGGTGAACTGATGTTTCATCCTCTAAATTGGCTAGTTTTCTAATTTTCCTATTTATTTATTTTCTGATTCGAATCCAGGATCCGGATTTGCTTCTGAAATCCAAACCCGAACAATTAAACTGGTCCAAGCCTAAACAAGAAGCCCAAATCAATTAAGGGCTTGGCCTAATGGCTCAACCCAAACTAAAACTTGATCAAGAGAGACCAGATCACGGCATACCTGAATCCCAATCAGATTTGTGTTTTAGACCCCATTTTTGTAACCAGTCCTAATCCCATTTAAGTTGAAAAATCAATAAATTTATCTCAAATTTCCTCAAAATTTTTGTAGATCAATACTCGTAATGACCAGTTGACCAAGAGGGCTTCCAAAAATTGGCTTTTAAGCAACTTGATTTGTAGAAATTAAGCTTGAAAAGCTTCAGTAATGGCAGACAGCAGGTGGACCAAGCAAAATTGATAAGGTTAGAAGATAAATTTTCAGAAATTGATGGAGGGCTTCTCACTTACACCCTCGATCACACATTATACAACCAAAATTTTGAGATAATTGCTTCTGATTTGATCAAATTTAACAGCTAGGGTTGCGAAATTCGAAGGTTAGAGATAAACCAAAATCTGAAAATTTTGATTACATCAATTTGGTCCCCAAATTTCTTGGTTAAGTGCGACCTAATCCTTGACAACTCACACAATTTCTGTTCAGCCCCAAAAAGTTTGAATTTCTTCAATTGAGACCTCAAATTTTCAATTATACCCCTTAACTTTTTTTTTTTTTAAACTAAACCCTCAAACCTCTAAATATTTTAATTAGTTCCAAAATTAGGGGTATTACATAGACAAATGCATTCGCTAGAAAAATTTTATGGACGATTATAATGTAATAAAAGACCATTTCTATAGATGCAATGAAGTACCATGGTTTTCAAGTACAATATTTGCTTTCTACTAATTAATTAAAGGAAAAACACCGATAAAAAGAACTTTCTTACCACCAAGCTCCTTCTGATTAAGTGTTCTCAACCTATTTTCTTCTTCCTCAGTTTCTAAGAAACATTGTTAACTACATCTTGAATAAAACACCCTAGACAAGAATGAGATGAGCCACCCTCAGCCATGGTTATCTTGCTCTTCTCACTCATCTCTTTCACCCTCCTCCTAATTTCAACACTCTTGTCTCCTTCCATTAATCGTCTTATCCCATTCTCTATCACCTCAGCAGTTACAATCTCCGTCGTCGTCATTCTGAAATCATTTCTATAGTCCAGCTTAATCTCCACCGCCAATCCAAACACCCTCACCATCTGGAACGCATTCATTTGTTGCTCTGCGTACATTGGCCACGTGGCCACTGGCACTCCGAACCACAAGCTTTCCAACGTCAAGTTCCACCCGTAATGCGAAACGAAACCTCCCACCGCCGGATGTGATAGTACCGCCACTTGCGGCGCCCACCCTATCACCCTACCAAGCTCGGCCGTTCGTTCCGTGAACCCTTCTGGTAGTACTTCTTGTGGGTTGTCGTACTCAACCGGCATCTCAATTTTGCTTTTATTTGGCCGCCGTCGTAAGGACCACAAGAACCGGTGGCCGGTGCGCTCCAACGCGTGGGCTATCTCCTTCACCTGATCCCCATCGAAACATCCCATGCTCCCGAAACACAGGAATACTACCGAAGCTGGTGGCTGATTGTCCAACCATGACATGAGTACCCCTTCTGATTTATTGTTGTGGAGGTTGAGGATCGGCCCCACTGGGTAAACCGGTGGGATGGATCCATCATTTTGGAGAGACTTGAGGGCATGGGATTCTAGCTCGTCGAACGTGTTGACCAAGATTGCTTTTACTTTCTTAAACCTCGCAGCGATGTTTATGAACATGTTGGAGCCGATCTTCTTGTCTAGCACCCCAGATGGCAGGACCTTGGCGGGAACCGCGTTGGAGAAACTCGGAACAGACAACTCAGCGTCCGAGTCCTTGAACTCGGTCATATCTTTTCTCAAATCCTCTTGAAGAGTGTAGAGATGGAATATAAGGCTGAGCAGGCTGGCGCTAGAGGTGAAGAAGACGTAAGTGGGAACCCCAAATTCGTCCGCTACGTCCATCATAGGTGTGCAGAACATGTCGATCACGAAACCGGCAAGTTGATTGAACGCCGACCCAGATCCATTGGCCATAATTTCCGACACAATTTGTCTAACTTGGGGTTTCTGAAGGTCGACGAAGTCCTTGAAAAAGCTGGCGGGGTTTTTGGCGAGGAGGTCCTTGGTGAAGTCGTCAAGGAGGAGATCGACAAATCGTATCCGTTCGGCGATAGTGTCGTCAGAGAAGGGTTTAGGATGGGCGGAGGTGTCAAAGGGGAGCTTCATGACGAGGACGGTGACAGAGAGGCGTTCATTTCGGCTCACGAGGAGCTTTGCAATCTCAATCGCCGAAACCAAGTGACCGACCGCGGTGAAGGGGATGAAGACCAGCTCTGCTGTTTTCATTATTCTCTTTTTCTTTGCTTTTGGTTAATCTGATAGCACGAGGACATAGGAATGGAGAGGCAGAGATGGGAATCCTTGCTGGTGGGCTTGCTTTTTTATAATGGACTGACAAGAAGATGCCAGGAAGGACGATGTTTATCACGGATTGCCAGAGGGAATCTCCACTTCTAATAAAACAAATTTAATAGTGAATTCAAAGCTTTTTTAAAAATTATTTATTTCTTTTGAAAAATTTCAAAATAGAGAACCCCTTTGACTTTTCTAAATAACAGCGAACCTTTTCCTTTTTCTTTTTCTATTTTTTTTCTGTCCTTTTCCCACAATAGTTGACCACCCGGCTTGGAAAATTAGGCTATACTGCCAATCGTAGAGGTTTACTTTAGAAATTTTTGTCATATAATATTTTTATTTTTATATTTATTTCATAAATATATATAATACATATAAAATTCGTTGTCTTTTTAAAAAAATGAAACTATTCTTCTCTTACCAACGTAATATTTTTATATTATTGACTTAATGATATCAATTAATAATTATTAATTATAAAATAAAAATTATATAATTTTCTATAAAATTCTCTTTTTATTTTTTAAAAGAGAGAGCTTTTTCCATCCTAACACACAAAGGGGATGTTTGCAAATATTTTTGTAAAATTGCTAGTAAATACTTTAAGTAGAAATAAGTAAAATTGATTTTAATGAGAAGTTGAAAGTATTTAAAAGGTGTGTTAAAAAAATTCTCGAAATTAGTAAAATAGTATTTGGGAATAATTTTTGTAAAGTGATAGTGGAGAAATTTTTAAGCTCAAAATGACAACTTTGCCCTTATAAATATAATTTTTATTTATTTTTTAAAATTTTTTACTACTTCTCCCTTGCAACAACCGCCGCACGTAGCGGCCATGTACGGGCCGCTGCGTGTGGCGATCGTCCTCTGCCACCGCACACAATAGCGGGGTTTGGAGCCACTACTTGTTGCGCAGTTTAGAGAGGTCACACGCAGCGACACTATCTGGAGCCGCTACGTGCAGCAATGAAATGCAACAGCAGTTTGCAGGGCATTGCATGCGGTGATCGCCACTGCCACCACACGCAACGGTAGTCTCCAGACGTGCTGTTTGGCAATGGGTGGAGAGGGAAGGAGAGGCAAGAAAGGGGTAAGGGTAATTAGGAATTACATAAAATGTTTGAGGGTAATTTTGTCAAAAAATATTATAAAACAACTTTAATTTATATACAAAAATACCATTAAAGCTAGAAGTATAAAAATTCCAACTTCTCCATATTAACTTTTTATTTAAATTTTTTTAGTTTTAAAAAGTTAAAATTTAAGTAGAAAGCAATTTGCAAACACTCTATAAGTGATTTTATGCCATCGGAAGTGCAAAAGCACTTCCCAAACATGTTTGCAAACACCCTGTCACTATTAAAAGATTTGACCACAAATCGAAATTATGAGGTGACACGCTGCAATGTTTTAGTAATTACTAATTCTTTCTACCTAAAAATAAATGAAAAATATGAGTTATATTGATAATTAACAATTGGAGAGTTGTTGATTCTATCATCTTATTGAACCAAATATTGTACTTGAAGTATTTAAATCTAAATTATATAATAATAACTTTAAAAAATCTTTATATTATATATTGTTACATTAAAAAATCAATATAAAATAAGATATTATGATAGTCAGACTGCTTATCATTAGGGGTTTTCATGGTTTTTAAAACCGTACCGACCCAAATTGTATCATATCGAGCTGTACTGAAAGTTAGGTTATTTATAAAAAAGAATTATAGGTTTTGGTATTAGATAATACCATCCTGAATATTTTGGTACGATTTTGGTTTTATAAATTTAAAATCAACAAAAAATTATATCGAACCGAATATGATATATAATTAAATTATTTATATCATATACAAAATGATTAAATTACAAAGTATTAATTATAATTCAATAGTAAATTAAAAAAATTAAAATGTTAAGAACTTCTATGAAAAAATGTATAAATATTATGGATTAAAGTTTTAAAAAGATTCTAATATATATCTTATACTCTTACAACCAATTTATTAACTTATACATCTATTAGAGAATGAGATCATTTTTTTTTATTTTTTTATTATTAAATTTATATTATAATATAGTGAATCACTTATCAATTTATCACCTAATTTAAATTTTATAAATTATCTAATATATGATAAGTCTTAACTTAAAAAAAAAAGAATTTTTAAATACACTTTTTTATTGTAAATAAATAAAAAGTTTCACTTAACAGATTTAAAAAGTAGTTCTAAAAAAAATTAAATAAAAAATTACATGTAAAGAAATTTGAACTAAATATTAGACTTTTTCTTCCATCAAAAACTTCTAGTTAAAAAAATTACCATTGCCAAATAAATACAAATAATTAAGAATTAAATTTCAATTTTTAAAATAGAAATTGTTAAGTTTTATATTTTAACTATCAATAAAAATTAAGTGCAAAATAACGAATACATATTTAAAAAAATAAAAATAAAGTTTAAACTATACCATCCTAATATATTATGCATAATAATTTATTAAATTATTTATATTATATGTAAAATTATTAAATTTCTAAATAATTGGATTATAAGTTATTAATTAAAGTGTTTATATTATATATAAGTTAATTAAATCATCTAATAATAGTAGGTTTTTAATTAAATTGATTAAAAGTTTCGTATTAAATTAGATTAAACAAAATTAACTTTTTCATTATTTTCATATGATTTTCAATTTGTTCTAATATATTGTGAGATCAAGAATATAAAGTTATAAATGATTATTAATAAAAGTTTTGAAATTAAATTCTTAAATGTAGAAAATTATTAACATTATATAATTTTGAAATAATTTAATTTTTGCATATTGGTTATATACTAAAAGGATTTTTTTTGTGTGTTTTTATAGAATTTTTATTAGTTTACTTAGATATTTTAATATAATTAAAAAAATTATAAAAACTGTATCAAAATGTACCGAAATTGAATAAAATCGAAGTAATGATATCGATATCAAAAAGTATAATTTTAATTTTAACACTAAAAAAATTAGAATAATTAGTACGATATAATTTTATAAAAAAATTAAAAAAAATCGGATCGTGAACACCCCTTCTAATCATTTTCAATCCCATCATTGTAAGTAATCTTAACAAAGTCAGTCTAGGCGAAAGTTAATTCTACCGACAAAAATATTTAATTGAATTTAGTTAAACTTTTACAACAAAAGTGGGGCATTTACGTAGAATAACTATAAGCTATCTTTGTACATTAATAAATGCATAAAGATTGGAAGCATGTCACATTTCATACAGTCCAAATCTTTTTTATTATTATATCGAAGTTATGAAAACAGCGACGCAATGGCTTTGCTGGCGTGAAACATGTAAATGTTCTGTCGCGGAACTTGTGTTATTATAATTTAGGTAGGTAGGATAGAATTTTGAGAAAGAAATAGAAATGAGAATGAAAATATTATAAAATTATATTTGATAAGTGTATTATAATTTAGGTACTGTATGGTAGAGTGAAATCGTGAGAAATGAATAGAAATAGGAATGAAAATATTATAAAATTATATTTGGTAGGTGTATTATAATTTAGGTACTGTCTAGTAGAGTGGAATCTTTAGAAAGTAATGAGAATAGGAATGAAAATGTTATAAAATTATATTTAGTAGGTGTATTGGAATGAGAATCCTCATTCCCGAGGATGAGGATTCCTTTAAATGATGGAAAATGGATTCTATTATTAGGGTGATGGAATCCAAATTTCATTCATTCAACTCAATATAAATTTACTTAATTATCTTTTATATTTTAATAAATGACAAAACTACTCTCATATACCAAAAAGCAAAAATATTTTATATTAAGGCATTTTACTTTTTTTCTTATATTAAAGGATAATAAAATAGCAATAGCAGAAATGAAAGTTGCATATTAAATTATATAATGTGTTAATAATTTGAGATATAGAAAAAAAATTTTAAAAATGAAAAATTAAATTGTTAAAAAAAACCAAACATTATTTTATAAAGTTTCAATAACTATATATATATTATAATATTTTATTATTAAATTAGTTATTTTGAAATTTAATATTTAAGGATAGAACATTAATTTTTTAATTTTTTTTTTATTTATAATATATTAAAAATAAAAATTATTTAACTGTTTCTAATAAAAGATATTTTTGCCTTTAAACATTTTTTTTATTTCATTTCTTACTTTCATTTCAAGACACAAAATATAATAATAAAATAAAAATTTTCATTCTATCAATATATAACAAATATACTCGTAAAAATCTTGATTTCATTCTATTTTTATTCTTATTCTTATTTTTATTTCTTCAAAAAATATTTTATCGTGTTATAGGTGGCCTTACAGATATACAAAAACTACGAAGATGTGCGCAAATTGGGCTGAAGTTGATTAGTCAAGGGACTCCTGTCTAAAAAAATATATATTCCAAGGATCAAGCTTTCTTGGTCTGCAAGTACAAGAAAATATAATAAACCAGCCCGAGAGAACCGGGGCGTCGGCTTTCCTTCCTCCCTGGGTCGACATTTTTTACGAAAAAACTAAAAAATAAAAAAACTTCTTTAATTTTGGTCAAATTAAAAATTATTAATATTAAAACTCGTGTTCTCCACGTAATGCCAAATAAAGTGTGATCCATATTTAATACGAGATATTAGATACATATTTAGGAATTATATATAAATTTAATATAATAAATATATAAATATATATAATCCACCTTTCTTTTTTCTTTTTTTTTCTCTATCTTTTTCTTCAACGGACTGTCAAATTCGTGCAAGCCAAATCCGAAAGCAATTAATTTAACTTACATGAATTTATTTATTAGCTATTTATCAGTCTTTGCTTACCCCTGTATTTTTATTATTTTATCCATCTATTATTTTATAAATAAATAAATAATCTCCTCTCTCTCT